TGCCTTTAAAATACTTTGGCAAAAGAAACAAAAAGGGGGAGTGAGATATATCTAGGAAGTATAGCAAAATCCCCACAATAGTTTAGAGTATGCTTGCCAAAAAAGTTCAAATGAATTTAATGAAGTCATTAGCACTAACATTCAGGTTTTGGGAAATTCAGAGGATAAAGGGACAAACTGCACCAGAAGGAAGCAAACACACAAATCTTGAATGAAGCTGCTCTACAAGACAAGTGACCAAGCTCTGCAGTAAAGCAAAGACTTAAAAAAGACACACAAACCAAGAAATAGGCAAGGGGGCCACTTTAGACTAAGAGAGGCATAGCAACCAAATGTAATGTGGACCTTGTTTGGATCTTGGCTCAAAAAAACTTATTGTTAAAAAAAAGATAAATTGAGATAGGAAGATTTAAATATGGACGCCCCACAATTATTGTTAACTTTCTTAGGTGATAAGAACATTGTGGCTAGCTAAGAAAAATAACCACATACCTCAGAAACATGTACTGAAGTGCTTGGGTAGGGGAGGAAACGACACAATGTTTTGGGTTTGCCTTAAAATAATGCTTCTGAAACATTAAATTGCTAACAAGTCACCCAAGTTTCTTGTTAAAATACAGATTCCGAGGGGTGCCTGGGTGGCTCAGTCGTTAAGCGTCTGCCTTCGGCTCAGGTCATGATCTCAGGGTCCTGGGATCGAGCCCCGCATCGGGCTCCCTGCTCAGCAGGGAGTCTGCTTCTCCCTCTCCCACTCCCCCTGTTTGTGTTCCCTCTCTTGCTGTGTCTCCCTCTGTCAAATAAATAAATAAAATGTTTAAAAAAAAGAAAAAAAAATACAGATTCCGATTCAGTAGATCAGGAAGTGGGACTGAGAGCCTCGTCTAACAGGACCCTAAGTGATGCCCTGCTGCTGGTCACCACACCAAATTTTGAGCAGCACAGTTTTAAAGGAAACCAAAAGGGATATGGAATGATGCAGCAAGTGCAGCAAGTCTTGATAATGGTGTAATCTGGGTGATGGGTGAGGGGTCTGACGCTGGACGGCTCAGTATGTGGGTGCTGATGTTAGTGTTATAACCACAAGGGAGGGCCTGTCGTGTTCTGACAGCCCTACCCTCTATCTCAAGCCCCTGTGTGCCGTCAGACACATGAGCCCAGACAAACCAGTGTCTGTCACCACAATACCCACAGAGCTGCCTCTCCTAAGCTGTCTCCAGCCACCTAGGCCTGCTGAGTAAGAATAAGACCCTCCCTTCATCCTGTCAGCCAGCACTCCTCGCCCCCTCAAACCTCTATCTTCCCCCAACACACTGGGCATTTTATTTTTTTAAATTTTATTTTATTTAAATCCAATTCATTAGCATACAGTGTATTACTAGTTTCAGAGGTAGAGTTCAGAGATTCATCAGTTGCGTATAACACGCAGTGCTCATTCCAGTATGTGCCCTCCTTCATGCCCATCACCCAGTGACCCCATTGCCCCACCCACCTCCCCTCCAGCAACCCTCTGTTTCTTTCCTACAGTTAAGAGTCTCTTATGGGGGGCGCCTGGGTGGCTCAGTCATTAAGTATCTGCCTTCAGCTCAGCTCATGATTCCAGGGTCCTGGGATCAAATCCCGCATTGGGCTCCCTGCTTCGCGGGAAGCCTGCTTCTCCCTCTCCCACTCCCCTGCTTGTGTTCCCTCTCTCGCTGTGTCTCTGTCAAATAAATAAATAACATCTTTAAAAAAAAAAGTCTTTTCTGGGCATTTTGAATATACATTCTCACAGCACTATTCTTGGTTTAGCAAATTTAGGCCCAGGGGGCATGGGTTGTCCAAATTTACATAAGGAGCTAGCTGTAGAACTGGGACTAGAGTCTGGTGTCCTGACACCCAAGCCCAGAACACCCAGAAAGGCCTAGGGGGAGCTCCTGCCTCATAGCCGCATGCAAGTTGCCTGTCCCATGGGGCAGCTCACCTTCAAGCCACCCACATCAGTCTTTCACACAGGAGCCTCACCATCTTCCCCTTCCTCCAGGACTCCGCCTTCCCATATGTAAGTCTCACTGTTGCCACCTGCTCAAGATCTGCTGTGGCTTCCCATTCCCCTCAGGGTGAGTGCCAAGCTCCCTTAGCCGCCTGGTACTCTTGGCCCTCCACCCTCCCCACCACCACCCTGGACCTCTCCAGCCCGACTGCCCACAAGCCCCCCGTATACATCCTACAAGGCAACCTCCCAGCAAAGGTTGGAAACATCTAGTTCCCACATGGACCACAGTCCACACCTGGCTTGCCACAAACATTCCACTTCTCAGATGTTTTGCCTCTGCTTGGAATGCCCTTTCCCATGTGCGAGACTGGAAGGCATCGTCAATGGACCCACTGGCTGGCGCTAGAGTGTTTGTAGTGTTGAATGCAGCCCGCTCTCTCTTCACACGGGGCCCAGGACAGGGACAGCGCACCCTCACCCCCAGGGCCCAGCATGTCCTGGGCAGGGGGCGGGGTGGGGGGGTGTTGACAGCAGCCTTCGGCTCCCACTCAAGCTTTGCCCTACATCTTCCTAAACAGACTCCTCACACTCCCCATCTTTGTCCATACTGGTTCTAAACAGAAAGCCCCCCTCTACCAGTCTATACTTGCTAAAGACCATGAGTTGGATACTATGTTCCCTCATCCCTAACCACCAAGGTTTTCCATCATATACTTGCACGCAAGTATTGGGGTGTGCCCTGGGCAGAGCCAGGTCTGACATCTTCCCACTCCCCATGAGGACCTAACAGGGCCACAGGTCTCAGCCTGAAGTTGATACAAGAGCACAGCAGGCCCTCGACTTCTGATGTTAAGTGTTATAATCACAAGGGAGGGCCTGTCGTGTTCTGACAGCCTTACCCTCCATCTCAAGCCCCTCTGTAAGGTGACCCAGGGAGAAGTGAGTGGCTGGGGTCATAGGATGGCTCAACGGTAAAGACTGAGCTGGGACAGCAGGCTGTATGGTAGCAGGGCAAGATAGGGCTAGGAGTGGGGCTAAGGGCAGCTCCAGGGTTAGAGTATGTTTGTGTACCTGCTCCTGGCTAAAAAACTCTTAAGACAATTGAGGTTGTCTCATCTGCTCTCACAGATGAGAAGTGGACATCACCACAGTGGGTGGCTTGGGAAGGGTAAAAGATCAGGGTCATGTCAGAATAGTCTGGATTTTCTCCAGTCTAGGGAAGCCCAGCCAGGCACAGGATTCAGGGCCCTGGGCCTGGAGTCATAGTCTGAGGGGTTCCTCCCAACCTCCCTGCATCTCTGTGTCACTTTCCCAGACTCTTCCCAGCCCCCAAGACTCAGCACCAGTCTCAACCCCCCCAGGAAACTCTTCAGGATTGGTCCATCCCTCCATCCCACCTCACAGCCACCTTCGTTTCTCCCACTCAGACTGGAGCTGCTGGGGCCTTACTCTCACACCCTTTCCAAAGCTTAGCCAAGCTGTGGGCTAAGTGATCACATTGCAAGTCTGCTCCACCTTGCTCTCTGCTGTCCATCAGCTTGGGGACTGTCTAGGCCCCAGAAGGAGTTTGATAAATGTCCCTTGGATTGACATTGCTGAAAAAGGCACTGGGGCAATGGCTGGTCATGCCAGAGGCCACAGGAAACAGACACGAGGAGGAGCTCAGAATGATGCCAGGGTTAGCACCCCAGGCCACGGGGTATTCTAGAGCTGGAAGTCAGGGCAGAGGCCTGGGCTTGAGCCCCATTTCTCCGTGTACTTGCTTGTAACTCTGGACAGTCACTGCACCTCTCTGGGCTCCAGTCACCTCCTCCTTTCTGGGAAGGGGTGGACCAGAGTCTAGACTAAGTATCTTTTTCAGACATACTTGGTGATGGGGGATCAAAGCCTTAAGCCATAAAAAGTGTGAAACCCTCTCCACACTCTGTATGTGACTGAAAATAAAGAGAAGTCTAAACTGTAAAATAAGGAAAAGGAAGTTCAACAAAGTTTTGGCCTTTTCATATGATTATTTTAGAATATCAAATATTAAAATGTGTCCAAAAATGTATGCTTTGCCGGTCCCCTACACTTTTGGCCTGCCTTCTGGTGACCAGGCCCCGGGGTGGATGCTAATTCTGGGTTCCCTCCAACAATGGATTCAGCTTTGTCAGACACTGTCTGGTGCTCACTTGCTGGCCCCTGCCCATCCTTCAGGAAGAACTCGGGCTCCCAAGAGCCTTGGAACATCTGCCTGATGTTCATCTCATTCTTCCATCAAGGTTCTGACCAATGCAGGAGACCCCCCAGGGAAGCTTGTCCAGATCACTATGCCAGACCACCCTAGCCCCCCGCTTGACCTGAGCTGCCTCCAGGGGCTCGATGACCATGCTCAATCTCATCCTTGAGGCGTTGTAGGCAGGTGCAGGCTCATGGCTTGGCTTGCCCCAAGTGGTTTCCATGGTAGGTTTAAAGGCCAGAATGGGACCCCCAGGCTGGGGGAAGAGGAACTGCCCCCCTCCACCCACACACAGGTTCTCATACTGGCCCTAACATCAGAAACAGGAAGCAGGCTCCCCCAGTACGTTCACCTTCTACCACACAGACACATGCCCCCCAGTCTCTCCTCAACGCTCATGTTCTCAGAGTCCCCCACCCTCATCAGCTGAGCACCAGTCTGGGATGGAAGGGTGCTCTGCTGGGCAGTGTGGGCACCGTCAGCCTCCATACTCTGAGAACAAACTTGCACAGACCCAGGGACCTGCCAGGAACTGGTGCGGTGGGGAAAAGGCCCAAGGCGGGGAGGGGAGGCTGGCTGGAGGAGGAACAGGGTGGCAGAGCTCGGCAGTCTGAAGTCACAGGCTGTCAGTACCAACAGCCTCAGAAGCCCTTCTGAGTAAGGCTGGGGATCTAACCCAGCAAGCAAGAGCACCTCCCTCAGGGATTCCCTACGGTCTCTGACCTCTCGCTCTGAGGGAGCCCCATTTCGACAGATAGGCTGTGCTGAGGGCACAGCAACCTCCCAGGGCCGGGGGTGAGGCAGACTTACTGGTCATGTAGAGCAGTGTGTGGAAGAGCCACATCCTAGCAGGAGCAGAGGCAGCGGCGTGGACCTCGGCCTATTCAGCTTCCCCTCCTCTGCGTGGGTGGCCAGGAGGTGGAGACTGACACACACAGAAGCAAGGACCCACAGGCAGACAGGCACTTACAAGTAGACACGGATGTTCCCACTTGTGCACAGCTGGCTGTGTGGCTTCCTCGGCAGTTGTGGGCTGGGTCCTGGAAACTCAGAGACAGTTGTGAGCCCTTCTACATGACCCACGCTTCATGGAACAGTGAACCGAAGCTTGGCCTAGGAACACAGCTCTGGATGTCCTCATCAGATAGATGTTTGAGTGCAGCAGTATTAATCCAGACGTTATCATTCATGTGAGTGAGTCCCAGGCCCCTGCCCTGCTCTAGAACCTACCACCAGATACCTCAGCCCAACATCCAGCCCAGGATCCTTAGTGGTGGTTTGGTGGTTGCCTCAGCAGTGAGAATGGGGTCCCCTTCCTATCAGAAGTACCCCCACAGCTAGAAATCGGGCTCCTGCACCTGGCCCCTGCATTCAGGGCCCTGAGGCTATGGAGGGCCTGATAAATGTTAAGACCCAGTGCACTGACTGAAATCACCACCTCAGTGAATTCAGCTTGGCTGCATTCTCTTTAAAACCTGGCTATAGCAACGTGGGCAGCTCTGAGCTACCGGACAGAAGACATAAAATTCCATAAATCTTTACAGCATACCTCTGATCCAATCCAGCCCCCCAACAGTCTGCAGGCATATTTAAAAGCTAACTTCATAATCTGTCAAGTTTTCCCTGTGACCAAGTCTGTCGTCGGTCACAGAAGGAAGTGTCCCTGCTTCCCCGATTGTTGTAGTGTACAGCAGTGCTGTCCAACAGAACTATGATGGTGTTCTAGATCTGCACTGTCCAACACTGCATGTGGCTACTGAGCCCTCGCAACGTTATCAGTGCAACTGAGGACCTGAATTTTAAATTGTATTTAATTTTAATGAATTCACATTCAAAAAGGCAGGAGAGTCTATGTCTCTCACATGAAATGTCCGCATCCCCAGAGAGAGCACGCTGAAGTGTTAGTGCAAGTGTTAAAACAAAGCAGACAAGGGTGTTGACTTAATGACAAGACGAAAATCAATTTTATTTTGTTTCTCACATTGAAAGCTTGCTTGGCCAAAGTCTTGTGGAGATCAATGACACTTAAAACATGTTTGCATTGTCTGCTTTGGTCTGACAAAATACCTACAGCTAATGTGATAGTTCCCTGATGCTATATGGTTGCTTGAACAGAGATTACAATTCACCATTTCGGACACTGTCTGACAGCTGGAAACAAAGTTCCAGGTTTGATGATCTGCCTGCCAGATCACAACAAAGACCATCCAAATTGGCTTAACCTTGTCATAGTCCAGAGTCCTGGCCTGTTTTCCCACCACCCCAGGGCTCAGTGACTTTCCCCCTACCCCACACTTGTTTGGAGTGCCAGGGGCACTTGGCAGAGCCAGAAGAAGCTCCTCTCCCCATCATCCCTGACCCAGAGGGGGAAGAGAGTAGCCCCAGGCCACAGAGCAGAACAGACCAGCAGTAGGGACACGTTAGAACCCAGGACTGCAGCTTGCTCAAGATTTCTGAGAGCAGGACTTCATGTCTGGAGTACGAACTTCAGGGCACCTCAGGAGGCCAAGCCAAGCTGGTGACTGGAGGCTGGACAGGGTGCAGGGCCATTTCTGCATCTTTGGAGACTTCTAGAATGCAGACTCATCGTGCATCCCTCAAAGATGTATTTATCCAAGCTTGCTGGTGTCAGCATGACAGAACACTAATCATGAGCACACATAGGTCCGGCATGTCCCTCTGATAGTAACTGCTATCCCCACAAATCCAAATTTAAGATCCCAAGAAAAGAGCGAGACTATGTTCTACAATGCTTCTGCTCAGAGCCTCATACAGGTTTTAGACAAATGGTAAGGGACCAACTTGAGGGACATTCTACAACATTTAACTGGGCTGAACTCTTCAAAAATATCAGTATATCCATAAGACAAAGGTTAAAGGATTGTTCCAGGTTAAAGGAGACTAAGGAGAGGAAACAAAATGCATTTTGTTCCTGATCCTGGACCAGGAAAAAAAAAAAAAAGCTTTAAAAAACATTGGGACAGCTGGTAAAAATGAAACATGAACTAAAGATTAGATACTACTATGCTGATCAGATAAAATTATACACTTCCTGAATTTGATAACTATGTGATGGTCATATGAGAGACTGTCCTTATTTCCTAAGAATTTAGGAAATGTACACTAAAATATTTAAGGGTAAAGGGATAGGTGTATGCAAGTCACTCTCAAATAGTTCATGCTTCAGAGGTGGGGATGGGGGGACAGAAGGTAGGAGGGAAAGAATGAATGATAAAATATTGCAAAATGTTCTTTGTTCTATCCTTGAAACTTCTCTGTAATTTTGAAATTATTTCAAAATAAAAAGTCTTAAAAGTTACAGGATGGAGATGACCTGTTCAGCAAGAGGTCAAAGCACTAACGGCTCTGTTTTGAGAGTGAGTCCAAAGCTCTGGTATCTGCATTCACCAGTGGATGGGGGGCTGTTCCCACAGTCCTGCCTCACCGCCTGTAGGCCTAGAAGACGTTCTAACTACCCACTAGCCTTCTGAGTTCTGGGAAGCTGGGTAGAGGGCATTTGGAAGCATGAGGACTTACAGAGACAGGGCTGCAATGGAGGACAGAGCTGGCAAAGGGCAGCTGGGGGCAATCTGAGGAGTGGTAGGAATCACTACCATTGACTGAGCACTAAGGAGGGAGTGCCAGACTCAGTGCCAAGGGCCTTCCATGCAAAGCCCTCATCTGACCCTAACAGCCACCCTACTTGGTTATCCTGATTTCCCAGATGAGAATATTGGACTGGAGAGGTTAAGTAACTTGCCTAAGGCCATATGGCTAATAAGTGGCAGAGTTGGGACTTAAGACAGGTCTGTCTCCTCCAGTACCAGGACTCTGAACTACTACAACCCTACTCCTCTCATACCCATGGGGCTAAATCTCTCCCAGTTTGTGAGCTTTTAAAAAGCAGAGACCTCATTTCACAAACATATACTGGGTGTCATGAACTGAACTGTGTGCCCCGCCCCCTGCCAAATTCGTATGTTGAAGCCATAAACCCCCCAACATGAGTTTATTTGGAGATAGGGTCTAAAGGCCTTAAAGGAGATAATTAAGGTCATAAATGTATGGCCCTAATCAATAGGCTTAGTGGCCTTAGCAAAGGAAGAGCGATCTCTCTCCCCATGTGCACGTACCAAGGAAAGGCCATGTGAGGGCACTATGAGAATATGGCCGTCTGCAAGCCAGGAAGAGAGCCCTCATTAGAACCTGACTATGCTACCATCCTGATCTTGGCCTTTCAGCCTCTAGATGGTGAGAAAATAAATTTCTGGTGTTTAAGCCACTCAGTCTATGGTATTTTGTTATGGTAGCCCATGCTAATACAATGGACTACTTCCTAAAAAGCCTCCCAAATAAAACATGGAATGGTGCATGCATGCGTGTTGGGGAAGGTGGGCTTAGTGCGGAGGAAGCAAGGGAGAGGATCCTCTTGTTCTTCTGTAGCTGAGGGGTTGGTTTATGGACCAAGGGTCCAAGGGCTTGGGCCTCTTGCTTGCCCCTACCTCCTTCCTGTGCAACTTAGGCTCCTAATGGTCTTTGCAAAGGTAGAGCAAAGATCCTAGAACTCACATTAGCAACAGAAAGAAACCTGGAGGCCATCCCAGTTGAGCTCTTCGTCTGACAGAGAGGGAAACTGGGGTCCAGAGTGGGGAAGGGATTTGTTCAGTCTTGTTCAGTTTGTATGTGAGAAAAAATGAGTCCCCAGGCTTCAGGCCCAGTCTCATTCTATTTGACCTTCCCCCAAAGACACTCTACCTGAGCTAAAAGTACAACCTCCTGCTCATAGGCTTTCTGAGTAATCCTTGCCAATGACAAGAGGGGAGGCACCACATGATTAAACACACAAACAGCCAGGAAGGGACAGGAAGGTCATGTCTCCTCTCCTGCCAATGTTGTGGGCCTCTTGGCTTCACTAACCTACAGCTTCACTACCCTACAGTCAGAGGTGAGGGTCACAGACAATTTGAGATAACACAAAGTTTCACCTACTGAAGACTCTGGTCATGCACAGAGGGCCTCAGAATTGCTCGAGCAAAAACAGGTAAGAACCCTAGGGCAGGGTATTGACTTTGGCAGGTTAATACCACCCATACTCTAGAGTTTTATCTATAGCACAGGAAACTCCCACTTTAGTGCCTCACAATCCAAAATAGGCTTTTGAGCCAGCATTTCCCTAATTGCTCCCAGGAACATCAAAATCTTGTGAAATGTTCATAGAATTTCATTAAAAAAAATGCTTACCATATTTTTTCTTCTAAGATTTATTTTATAAACATGTAAGAAAAGTTCTGGATTTTTGTTGGTCAGATTATGCAATAATCTGCCTTGAAGCAAGTGTGATATTCTCAAAATTATCAAAAACATTCTGTCCTTTTAGTTCTTAAAGGAAAAAAAATGTTTTAACTTCATTTGTTTCCTGTTATATAAAGTTTAAAAGCAAATACTTATATACCCAATTGATTTGTACAGCAATTAATTAATCTGTGAAGCCATGGTTCGCTGTTACTGTGAACCCAAACGGCCCGTTTGCACTGCAGCATAACTTTAAGAACACTCGAGTGAGAGCTGGAATTGCTACTGGAGGCAAAAGAGCTGCTGCCTGAACAAGTTTTCTCTTTGCCTTCTTTGGACTGCTGTCACTTTCCTTTCCCATAGGACCCAAAGCTAAGAACTGGCTCAGTAGTCCCTCTTTGGGGCCTCTCATCCACCTACCAGCTTCCTTTCCTGCTCTCCTGGGGCAGATGAATGCTTTCCAAAAAAAATATTCTACATGATTCTCTTGCAAATTCTTTATACAGCAAGTACACTTCAGCTCAGATATGGCCAGATCACCAAAATTTGAATTTTATGGAGGTCTAATTAATGAGATTTTTTTCTTATACAAGTACAGTTTATGTACTTCTGAATAATCTTCCTCTTTTTCAATCTGGTAATGTCAGCTAGATTTCGACTAGCCTATAGGCAAAGGAGTCAGAGCTGGGTTGTTACCATAATTCACTCATTTACCAAACACTTCTTAAGTACTCCTTACTCTGGACTGGCATGGTGGGAGGATACAGAGATAACAACATGAAGACACCTGCTCATTAGGAGCTCACAGGCTAAAAGGGAAAATAAAACATGAACATCAAGTACTGTGTGTACAAGGCAGAAAACAAGGACTAGCCTGTAAGAGGACCCCAGGCCTCAGAGAATGAAGCTGTTCCTGCAGCTGGGAGATTTAGACATTCACCGCATGTTTACAGATAACCTGCCAGGTGCCAGGCATGGCTCTAAGACTGGAGAAACCCCCATGAACAAACCAGACATGGTGCCTACTCTCATGGAGCTTACAATCTAGCAAAAAAGACAAAGTAGGAACAGGGAATTACAATTCAGTGTATAGCCGTGCTGGCTCTGGGGGGGGGTTACAGAAATTTGGCATCATACACACATTTCACTTAGGCAAACACAATGGTATAGTCTCCTGAGAAAATTTTTAAAATGACAAGGAGAAAGGAAAACAATTTTAAGTCATCTGGGCCATTTCACCTGCCCCTCCACTCACCTAAGGTAAGCTTGTGTGGCTTGTTACAGTTCCCAAGAGCCTCTTCAAAAGTGAGTTGCTTGCCTGAGTGAGTTTAACACCTAAAAATAAGTGGGTTTTTTTTCCACAATATGCCCTTCATTGCAGGCCTACCACTTCAGCTGGAGCTCAACCAAAGAAACTATGATCTGTTCCCACACAGGCAGAAACCAACTGTGCTGGATCTCACGATGCTGGTTTTCAACATGGCATGTTCCCCAGGATTTCCAAGAGGAATTTTGATTACACTCCATTTTTATCTTAGGTGTGACTGTATAGCCCAACCTTGAAATGAGCAGAGTCTCATTCATGACAGCACTGTGTAGCAGAGGCCCATAACCTGGCTCTGGAAGTTGGAGGCAGCCACCTCTAAGTCTATGAGGATGAGGGAAAAGAGAAGGCAAGGCTTAGGCAGAAGGGAGAAAGGTCCAGGGGAGTGTGTCACTGCTGGGGAAGAAAAGCACTGAGCAGAGTTGTGAAAGGCTGGTGAGATCAAGATGGGTCCAAGTAACTAGTGGGCACAGGGCAGGGGAGGTTGGGGAGAACAGGCCAGAGATACCAGAAGTTAGATTTTGACAAGCCTTGTGAGCTACCATTGGAGTTTGGAATTTATTCCAAGCTTTGGAAAGGTTTTAAGCAGAAGAATAACAGAATAACTTTCTTAAGAAAGTTCATTCTGAAGCACACGGAAGGATGCCCAGTATTATTATACATCAGGGAAATGCAAATCAGAATCACAAGGAGCTACCACTTCACGTTGCGAAATAAGTGTTGTCGAGGATCGTGGAAAAACCAGAGCCCTCATACACTAATGGGGAAAATGGAAAATGATGCAGCCATTTGGGAGAATAGTCTGGCAGTTCTTCAAAAGGTTAAAACAGAGTTACCGTATGACCCAGCAATTCCACCCCTAGATATATAACCCAAGAGTAATGAAAACATGATCACAAACACTTGTACATAAATGTTCCATAGCAGCAAAATTCACATCAGCCAAAAGTAGAAACAACCCAAATGTCCATCAACTGATGAATGGGTAAATAAAATGTACTGTATTGATACAATGGAATATTATTCATTAATAAAAAGAAGTACTAATACGGGCTACAACACGGATGATCCTCAAAAATATGTTTAGTGAAAGAAGCCAATCACAAATCGCCACAAAGTGTATGATTCCATTTACATGAGCATTCAAAAAAGGCAAATCCACAGAAACCAAAAGTAGTGGTTGCCAGGAGGGAAGAGGGACTGGGGAATGATTGTTAATGGATATAGGGTTTGTTTTTGGTGATGAAAATGTTCTAAAATTGACTATGTGATGGCTGCACAACTCTGTGAATATACTAAAAGCCACTGACGTGTATACTTTTTTTTCCTAAAATTTTTAATTTTTAAGTAACCTCTATACCCAATGTGGGGCTCAAACTCACAACCCCGAGATCAAGAGTCGCATGCTCCTCCAACTGAGACAGCCAGTGCCCTTGAAGTGTATACTTGAAAGGAGTGAACTGTACACTATGTAAATAACAGCTCAGTAAAGCTGCAAACAGCAAAAGTTCATCCCAGCTGCAGTGCACAGAACAGAGATGGAGGGATGGGATATGGGGCAGAGATCAGGGAGGAGCTGTCACAGGGATGAAGTGGGAGAAGACAGTGATTGAACTAAGGGGAGGAGTTCATGGGACAAAAAAAGGGGCCAGAGGAGGGCTTGTCACAGGCTCCACAAGTTCTCCTGGGTAGCTGGTGTCTCTCCCAAGAGGGAGAGTGGGAAACAGAAATGAGGTATCTGCAATTACTATCAAGCAGCAGAAATGTACTTGCAATCTCATATGCATAAAGACTAAGAAAAATATAGAAAAGTCTGTAGCCCTGGTGCCCACATACATAAGGAGCGCCCAGGCACACTGAGCTGCCACTAGGGGGCCATCCTGACTGTCTACCCTCACTCCCAAACTCCAAAGAAAGGGCCTGGGCATTCAGAGCACATGTAAGATGTTGTAAGATCTGAGTGCCTGAGTGTGGGCCAGAGAGCAAGAGGAGGTGGCCAACAATAACTTGGGGAAGTAAAATCTTCAAAGATACTTTTCTGGGGTCTGTGTATTTGTAAGAATTACAAGGCTGCGGAAGTGGGCATTTTTCATGGTAAGATCAAAGGCCCAGTTTTGACTACACACCACCACCTTTTCAGAAAGCCTTCCCTGATCTCTAGCAGGAGACTGGCCAGGACTATAAGGCCATGGGAGAGATGGGCTCAAACTACTGGTGGAAAAGGTCGTGACTGGGAAACACAGAAGGGCTTTTTTTGAACACTGCTGAAACCACATCAGTTAGGACCCTGACCACAAGGACATCTCTGTCCCACGAGAAGACCCAGAGACTGTAATGGAAATGGGATGGAGGTCAATCCCTGCCCCAAACCTCATGCATGCCCTTCTTGACCCTCCCCACACCTGCAACAGAAACTGGTGCTGGCCAGCCCACCACAACCATCGCTTCGGGAAGAGTAAAACACCACTGAGATGCACCAACAAAGTCAGAAGCTCTGGTACCAGCCCATTCACTTGCCAGATGGGAAAACTAGAGGCCCAGGCCCATGGAACAGAAACCAGGGGTTGGCATCCAGGTCTCGGACTCTCAGGTCCTTGTCCTTCTCACTCTACCAACTCCCCAGACCTTGCCCTTCTCAAGAACCTGGCTCTCAGCTGTATGCTCCACAGGGCAAAAAAAGCTAGAAACCTCAGAAACGTTAGGTCTCAACTGGCAGAGAATCATCTCTCTCCAAGAATCCGATGAGGAGGCGGAAACATACAGTAGTTAGTTAATAGCCTCTAATCTTTCTAAAGGGATTGAAAAGCAGGTACAGCAACAAAACATGGTAGAGTACAGCTGCTGTGGCTCTCAAGCCCCACAGCCCTTTCCTTCCTTTCTTAGCAGCAGTGTTCTGCATTCACACCACACTGTAATCAACTATCAATGCCACAAGTAAAGATCCTTAGAATCCAGGGCTGCACCAGGTACTGAAACACTCCAGACAGGTGAGGAGTTGTGACATCACAAAGGGACAAAGGCTTACTATCTCTAATTCTTAAGTTCTAGTGAATTGAAGTGAAACACTATTTTTAAGCCTGTAGAGGAATACGAACATTAAATACTTCAAAATAAAGATCAAATAGTAAGACAAAGTAATCTACTGCCTTTAAAATAATCTCAAAGTTTAGAAGTAAACGAGATAAACTAAAATTTCTATTACTATTATCTTATTTGCCAGTTTTAAAGATATCTTCAGGTGCCAGAACTTGGAAATAGAAAGAATAAATACTAATGTATCACTTCTGAAGTGATAATAAACAACAGGACCCCATCTCAGATGGATGGATTTTTTTCCTACAGTGGCCAAAAAGCAAGCTGAACACTATATACAACAGACTGACTATACAATTAGGATCATTTAAAAATAATGAGACTCCTCTCTTTGCCTTCTTCCAAAGTATATAATATATATTTAACAGCACACATAAGACACCACTTGAGCTTCCCTTGTAGCCAACAGGAAATACTTTCACATATAAAAATTAAAAATTTAAACTTTTAAATCATTAATATTTTTAAACATAATACAGACTTAAAAATTGTTCAACATTAATCCATGACCCCACCCCTAGCACAAAAATCCACCCCAAATCCAGAAGTCACAGTTTTTTGTTCCTAAAAATCCCACAGCACTGAACTTGATCTTCACTTCAAGCTGATTGCTAAGATGCCCCTAACAGAAATCCCCAGGGAGGAACGGAAGCACGATCGATGCTGCATCTCTTATCTACCTGGGCGGCACTGGTGCACCTCTGAGGTCAGGTCCATGAGATCCGGCCCCCACACTAGGGTCCTGGAAGGGTGAGCTGGCAGCTTCCCTCATCTTCCCCCTCGAAGGCTGTCCAATAAGCACCTGGGAATTGACTTTTCTTGGGAAAAGGGTGCTGGTAACAGCTGTCAGGGCCAAGGCAATAGTGAGAAGTTCAGTTCTCTGCTCTTTGGATGAACTGTGTAAAACATTTCTTTAAAAGCACAATGTTAAAAATATTAAGAAAAACATCTACAAAATCTGGAGGGCTGCCTTTTCCTCAAAGGGTAAAGCTTGTGGGGTAGTGGGGAAAGGATTGAGGGCCCAGAACTCTTACTCTGCAGCAAAATATAGACAGATGCCCTTCAAAATACATCACATTCTTAACATGTCTTGCTGAAGCAGCAAGAGCTGAGGGTGACTGTGTAAGAGCAGGAGGGGGCGCCAACTCCTGCGGGGGGGCAGAGGGGTCCTACTGTGCACCCCACCCTGCACAAGAATGTCAGATTTTAGTGCAGCTGCCATTAGCCCCAAGGGCGTCAGGACTCTGCCTCTGAACCAGAGCTGCTTTCCCGACTAACTTCAATCTGGAGAGATGGTAAGTTATCTAACCGGCTCTTCTTTTGGCGAGACTGTTCTTTCTCCTTTATCAGAGCCCCCCATGCCCTTTGCAGCTCAGAGTCATCTTCCTCAGTGCCTGGCGCCCTGTGATCCACCTTCTTCGTGTTCTTTTCTTTGGTCTTGGGTGCAGATCCTAAGCGCGTCCATAAACTACCTGTTTGGGTGAGAAGGCATTTCAGTTTTGGTGGTCAATGCTGAGAAGCAGGGACATTGCCATCACCTGATGTGCAAGAAACACTGGGGAGGGGTCTGTGGCTCTTGTAACCTCTCTGCAGCATTAGGAAGGTAATCTCATTTCCCTGGCTATCATCCCTGCCTGCACACTGAGGGACCTTTGGGTCCCACAGCTAGGGGACGTGTGCCTCCCCATGCATATCAGAATCACCTCGGAGGCTGCTTATGCTATACCTGCCTCTCCCTGGTGAGACTCACCATTCTCTGTAGAGCTTCATTCTGCCAGGAGTGGGCCATTCCCAGATCATTCCCAGCTATAAATTCTGCAAACTGACAGGCCTGCTATACTGTAAACTTTCAGAGAGTTGGCCCACTATCCATTAATTTTTAAAATATACTTTATTAATATCTAACAATGGAGAAATATGTGTTTAGCATTTCATACCATACTACACTATAAAGGCAATTAAATATTTTATTTATAAAGAATTTAACAATGTGAAAAAATGATCACAATAAAATCCTGTATGAAAAAAGCAGAGTATGTATATGGACAAAGATGTGAATAGAGACTTAAGACTAAATAATATTTGCGCTAAACAGAAAGAACCAAGGCTGGTTTTGTTTTTTTCTATTTTCTAAATTTTCCATACCCTTATTACAATTATGACGACTATAACGGAAGAGGAAAAATAATTTATTTTTGACACACGCTATTTCCTGCCTTTGACCAACAAAGTATTTCTATGCTATAGTCTGCTCTTACCCAATTCCTATCCCCCTCGGTTTCAAGTGTTACCAACCTGATTTCTTCTCCCGAGTATCAGAGTAGAGGCCTTTAACGTCTTGCCTGGGAACACCCAGCCTACTATGTACATCAGAAAAAGGCTCTCTCCGAAAGACTGGGTTACTACCAAAAGCCTTTTCTGGAGAATATGGTCTTTTTCCTAACCGCTGGCGTATATCTAGAAAAAGGAAAAAAAGGATTACTGTGACCAAGCGTGTGTGCTTTGCTATCGATATTGTCAACCTGAGATCCCTAGAGGACCTGGTGCCAAATCTCCCCAAACCAAGACAAAGAGCCTGACAAAATCAAGCTTCTAAAATCCTTCTCTCTATATAATCAGTCCGGATTCCCCTAGGAAAGTTCAGACATTGAGGCTGCCAGTGGAAAAAAACTCTCAGCTGACTGCTCCAGAAAGGAATTTCTGACACAAACTCAGCTGTTTTGTGTGTGTGTGTGCGTTTTTTTTTTTTAAGTAGAACCAAGCATACCAAAGAATTTACAAACATTTCAGCTAACAAACAATACTGTAAGTTCCCTGAGAACAGAAACCACAATCTTTGAACATATAAGGAATTCTTAATAAACTTATTACATTTAATAGTAAATGTAATGAGACTGACAAAAGCAAAGGACCAAGGGAAGATATCACAAATCAAATTTGTTTTTCCCTTCCCCCAATCCTCCTCCAAGAAATCTGTCCTCTTGAGTTCCCCCCAACAATAACAGCAACAACAACACGTTTACTAGCAAGTCACTGTACTGCGGCCTTCATCCATCTTGCTTATTGTTTCAGAGAGCAGCATCCCCAGCTTTCTGGTTTTTCAGGCCTGAGTCCTTTGGCTTCTTTCCCTTTGCCCCCTCACTTCCTAGTGCCAAGTCTTCTTCCTTTACAAGTTTTGATGTTCTCATCCATTCCATCTCCACTCCCCAATCTAGTTTAGACCCTTGTTACTTATTTAGCTCTCTACCCTACCCCACCCTGCCACAAATTATCTGTCTAAAATAAATATGTTTATTTCCCACCTCAAAAAACTAGGTTTGCCAATGGAGATCCCACTCCCTCCCCGAGCCTTGCTCTAAAGCCACTTTCTTTAAGAAGCCCTCCACAATTCCCCCAGCAGACCCACCTCCCCTCTGTGCTCCCACAGCCCACTGTTTACAGACCTAGTAGAGCACTTACTCCATTCTGTTTTGGGGTGGAATTACCAGAATGTGTGCACTCGTGTCTCTCCATCTAAGTGCTATGATGACTTTGCATCCCCTCCAAAGATTCTAACATTCCCACCATCTAACCCAGGGCCTGGCACACAGCAGGCATGGCCAAGTACCCACTCTGCACATGTATACTATCTAGTTCAAATTCCTGACCATTTATACAAAAACCCAACTTAATTTCTATCATCCTTATGTATAAAGTATATCAATGACATACAGAGTAAAACAATTGGGACATAAATATTGAAAGCTAGTACTGCAAAAGTACGATTATTTTTCATGTCCTTAAAGTTCCAATGCCTAACCCAAAATTTAGAAGTGATGAACTAGGACAAATAAATCAGTTCATTACTGGCAATGTTTTATCCGAGGACCTACCTCTGCCCTAATTTGCTTTCTGGAGCTCAGAACCACAACTGAACAAACAATACCTGACTTAGTATTGCTGCCTGGTGGCCGTGGACATGTGTGCTGACGTTTTTCATCTAACAGATGTCGGACATCTACAAATTTCTCAGTTGGTAATTTGTTACCAATTCGGTTTTTGATATTGCTTGTGGATATGGTATCTGCCCTCATGGAGTTCCTTTAAAAAAAAAAAAGGCACAATTAACCAACTTCAACTGTGGGATAATGACTATGCAATAATGGTATTTTGGAGAAAAGTATTTAGCAACACGGATTTTTTTTTTAAGATTTATTTATTTTGGAGAGTGAGAGAGAGTGCGTGCATGCGAGAACAGGGGTGGGCGGACAAGGACACAGGAAGAGGAGAGAGTCTTAGGCAGACTCCATGCTGAGCCCGATGCAGGGCTCGATCTCACAACCCTGAGAGCATGACCTGAGCCGAAACTGAGTCGGATGCTCAATCAACTGAGCCACCTAGGCACTTTTAGCAACACCACATTTTTAAATATATATGTAGTTTTGTGCAATAACTGGAATTCAAGAAATTTATCTAGTTAGTGCAACAGTAAGAAAACAGAAACCTACATGTCTATCAATAAGGGATTGGTTAAATAAATCATGATACATAAACAATGTACTACATCTGGGTGGAAAGAAAAGCAGAAGTCTGCAATATACTAAACAGAAAAAGCACACTGCAAAACAATATAAATACAACTTCATTTTTGTAGAACTATAATTTCTCCATGTGTTAGGTATATACATAAAATTAGCAGGAAAGTTATTCATTTAATTGCTAAATCATTATTTTAAGAAAGGTGATATTATGGATGATTTTCACTTTCTATTACTGTCTATCATTTTTATAACAAGGATTACTTCTTGTATATTTACAGGAAAAACTAGATGCTTTTATTCAAATTCTTCAACGGACTGAAATTAGAACAGATAAAAGTGATTATAAAATTAAGAGGAGTTAAGAGAAAGTTACAAATTAGTATTTAAGATAAAATAAAAAGTTAGCATTGAAAAAAAAACTATTTTTACCTAATATTTTTCAACTGGGATTCCACTTCATCAGCATACATGGTCATTTTCATGCTCTTCTTTGGTGAAGGAGTGGAAATCATTTTCAATTCTAGGTCATAGTCCATTTCATCAGAGTCTGAACTACTGGCACTGGACTGCCCAGAGGTGCTCCGCTCCCGGGGCTGCTTGAGAGCTGGCAGCTCCTCGTGGTACTCCACCACCACCCTGTCATCTGCATCCATGTCCTGGTCTTCCTCTGCCTCCTCCTCTTCTTCCTCTTCAATGGGTTCCTCTGGAACATTTACTAGTCCTAAGAAATTTAACCAAAACACATTAGGAAAAGCACTAAAACTAACAAATCTGATTTTCTACTCTATGTTGGTGACCTTTTAAAAAGGTGGGGTTCCCATGCCCGAGATCTTACTAGAGCATTATCTGTAAGTTCCAATCTAGTTGCCATTCTGATACCTACAACAGAAGAATGGCTAGTACGGTATGATCTAGTAACCTGATGGACTATTATAAAGTTATCTAAAGTGCAGGTGATTGTCATTATTCATGAATTCTATATTTGCAAATCTGCCAAATTTATTTTTAACTCCATATCAACACTTGTAAAGGTGTTTTTATGGTCATTTGTGGACATGTGCAGAGTGACAAAAAAAAATTGAGTCATCAGCTGTGCATATTCCCAGCTGAGGTCAAATGAGGCAACACTCTGCTTTCTTATTTCAGCTCTCATACTGTAAACAAACATTGCAGTTCATTAAATGCCATGCTTTTCATATTTTTGTGGCTTTTGTTGGTGATTTCATTTAAAAATTTTTTAAAATGGCCTCCAAGTGTACTGCCAAAGCTGTCTTGTGTTCTTAAGCCCAAGAAGGCTGTGATGTGCCTTACAGAATAAACACATGTTAAATAAGCTTTGTTCGAGCATGAGTTATAGTGCTGTTGGCTGAGTCCAATGTTAATGAATCAACAATATGTATTAAATAAGATGTCTTTAAACAGAAACACACATCCAAGAAGGTTATATATTGATCAGCTGATGAAAATGGTGTGACCAGAGTCTCTGAATGGTTTAGTATTCACTATATCAATGATCACAGTGACTTTATAGAACATAACCACTACGAATAATGAAAATCAACTGTAACTTTAAAGTTCATGGAAAAATGCTTATAAGTGGGAGATGACTATAAAATACGTTAACAATTATATTTATTATGAAAAGAAACAAATGTAAAATGAAATCTGTTGTTTATGTTAGCGTGCTAGAATTAGGGGCAATTTGCTTCTTAATTTCTTTAATGTAAATATAAAGATTGTATGGTAAGAATACCTTAGAGTAATTGAAATTGGAAACCTGTAACTGTGTAACAGAAAAGTATGTACATTTTTAAGAAGCAGATTTCAAATATACAATTTTGGATATACTCATTAAACAAAAATGATAGACTTCACCTGTCCCTGTTACCATGATAAACATGTATACATGTTATCCCATGTTTGTATGCTGACTTAGCAGTTCTACAAAGCATGTAGAAGATTCTACAGATTAGATTAAAAATAAAAACAAATCTTTTTTTTTAAATAAAAACAAATCTTTATAAAACATAATGAAAACGGTTCTTTCATAAGCACCAAAACAAAGAAAGAAAGGAAGGAAAGACAGAACAAACAAAATGAAACCCAAGTCATGGTATCTCATTTAACGGAGGCATTCGTGTGCATAAGCCAATAAGCATAAAACACTAGACATAGCAGCCTATTTTCATTATCAGACAAAGAAATAATAAAATCAAGTCATCTGATAAAATAACTTAAAAGATTTTCATGCAGCTTTTGATATTAATAGTAGAAAAATTAGATTCCTACAGAAAATTTTCTTTCAATTTTTCCTATGTCATATTTGGCCTTTTTTGTTAGAACAGCTTTTATTAAATCATTTGACCTCTTTTGTATGGGCAATTTAAAATTAATCGTGACTTGACTTACTTTCCTATATGTTGGCAGAGGGTGAGGGCAAGGAAGAGAGGATGATAAAGTTTGGAACCTTAAAAGACTGTATTAAGAATAAGAATATGATTTCGGGAGCCAAACATGTGTCTACCCAAGAGCTGAGCAGGCAACTACCGGAATGTCGGTGTTTATAGGACGTCAAGCCAACGTCATCCCCAATCAGGGCTCTCTTCTTGATCACATCCCGCTGAATGCGACGGGAATGATATCTTCGCTTCCTGCAACATTCCAAGATAAGCACATAGTCAAAAAACCAACAAAAAGAACCTTGAAATCTACTAATTAAATTCAACTATACACTGATGAAATGTTAGGTGCTGAAACAGAGACATTTTACGTGAAACTCAAACTCAGCCTTTCATACCATTTACCCTAGAGTTAAGAATCTTGAACTCTTTCTTCTTGTCTTCCTTCGAGTCCACACATGGTGTTGACATTCCACTGCAGAATACCAACTGAGGGATTAAGAAAAGCTTACGTAGTATTTAAACTATTGTATTTTAAAGTTCTGGACTCACCAAGAATTACTAAGAATTCCTTTCATGCCTCCGTAATTTGGATTCCCATATTTCATGTAATACTGACTTCTTCTGGCTGCTCCAAGTTCCTTTTTGTCATCTAAAAATTAATTACGACAGTTACCCAGGATTTCCCATTGATATGAAGACAATGTTGAATGGTTTAAAAAAATGTTTTCCATAGCTGGGCTCAGATCAGCACAATCTGCCAACAAAAGGGAAAGATACACTACAAATATTCACTCTCAGTGCCTACAAAAGCAAAGCAGTGCAATATAGAGGGGGGGAGCAAAATACAGAGATGAATGAGGTTAAGCTGCCATTAAGGAGCTGACTGACCTCATAGAGAAAATACTATTAACAACAACAATAATACAACATACAAGGTTCTAAGAAGCTTAAGAGAGCTTCAGTCATTATAGCTGTTCAGGAATAAAAAAGGCTTTCCAGAAGAGGTAGTATTTTCCTGGCCCCCCTGAAAGATGACATTTGTTTCTGAATGACAACACTCCAATAACAAAGAAGTAGTAAAGAAACAGATTATATATATTCCATATATCTGGTAAAACATTTTTTCCAATCATGACGTTCCTCAAAATGGCTTACAGAAAACAGCATAGCACCATTTATCTAGAATGCACTCAAATAAGCCACTCAAATGAATATAGAGAGAAGATCACTTTTGTCGAGTTAAAGTGCCAGTTAATAGAAAGAAATGATCATACACATTTTTGTTGAGGCACTCACTGACAACAACAGATGAATACCAATGCACATGTATCCAGTACTATAAGTAAACAGTGGCACAAGCCAGTATGTACACCCTTTAAAAAACATGCCCACCAGCTCCTTGGAGAATGGCTGATTCCAGATTTGGGACAGGGAAAGTACAAGTTGAGTCTGGAAAAACAAGATGTTTTACTGTACCATAAAGAAAGAAAGTGCTCAAAGAATCATGAAGGCATGTCAAAATAACAGAGCATGAAGGGCTCCACTGGCCAAATCCAAGATTTGTAAATCAAAACAATGATATGAATGAATAACCCACTGAATAAAATAAGACTCACGAATCTAAACTGATAAGTAAGTAAGTAAATAAATAAATGGGTAGAAAGAGAAAGTTCTTCCTTATAGCAGAATGCCAACTAACGTAGTTAGTTGAAACGTAGTTAAAAAGTCATCAATGGATGTTGAGTGGAAGTATGATGAGCAAAAGTCTATTTAAATAATCTCAAAATACCTCCCACAAATTTTTATATTACAAGTGGAAATACAGGAGAAACCTAGCAATCATTACCTTAACCAAGTGAGAAAAGTTAACATCTCCAGACATGGGACAAGTAAGTATCACGTGTCTCCTGACATGATGCACTGCAAATGATACAACAGCATTTCTGTGGTACTCTTGCCTAACACACAGAACCCGATTTAATCAGGAAGAGATATTAGACAAACCGAAACTGAGGGGCAGTCTATAAAATAATGAGCTTAGACTCCTTAAACATGTCTCAGTCAAGAAAAATAGATCAGAGGAGTATTCCATATTCAAAATTCATATATATTTTAATGCACACCAGAATCATTGTGCATAGAGAGCTTTACAAATTTAAGAGGCTTTTAACTCCTTAGAGAATTAGAGCTGAATGGCACAATTAGCAATGTCCAGGAGGATATTGCTGTGATGAATAAAAAAGTATAATTTAAAAATGTTTTAATAGTTCAGATGATAAATTGGCTGAAACGCACAGAGAGCAAACTAGCTTTCACAGAAAATAATTTCCTTTAGCCAGAAATCACAAAAGTATACAAATAGGCTAACATTCACCTTCAAAATCTGAAATTCAACTCAGGCAGCAAGCCATCATTTCACAAGCATAGAACATTATAGCTTGAAGGGACTTTGAGATTACTTGACCTAACTTCCTATTCAAAAGAGAAGGATGTCACTCAAAAATAAATGGCTTAGATTACAACTAAAAATTAATGCCAAATATCACAGTTACCTTTTGTAGCAAATCTCATGAATAACCTATTTCCTTTAGCAAGTTTGTTAGCTGGACGAAGATCATTTCTTAGCAGAGACTCTTCTTCTACTTGAGACAATGTGTCCAACTTAAGAAAAAAAGAGCATTTTCAATATAAACATTAAAGCTTCTTTCATATTTATTCAGTAGCAAAGTCCCCATTGAGAAAGCATTCTTTAACAATTGTTGAACCATGACAGCACATGTTCTTCTGAAACATTTCTAAGTCAGAAGTCTTCCCTGAACACCTTGTCTAAAGAATAGTCTCCATCATTCTCTATCTGCTTACCCTTCTTTACTTTTCTCCATAGCACTCCTCCCTTTCTGACATTATATTATATATCTGTGTATCTGTGTATTGTCTATCTTCTCCACTAGAATGTATGTTCCAAGAGGGGAAGGACTTTGGTTTGATGCTCTATATCCACAGGACCTAGAATTTGGTATAGAGTAGGTACTCAATAAATATTTTTTAAATGAATACACTTTAATATTTCCAACAATAACACATGCCCCATTAGGAAATATTCTGTCACTTGTTTTTTCTTAATTTTACTGATTAGATAACACTTCAAAATATTTCTCAATAAAACCATTTTCTTTTATACACAAGTATGAGTACTATTCTAAGATTTCAAGAAAAATCACTCATTACAGCCATATGAACTTAAAGGCCAGCAGCCTGGTGTACCCTCAAAAGGTTTAACAGTGAAAGCCAGAGGAAGAACTCAATTTACTAAGTCCTTAAGCCTTAAATAAGAGAGTAAGCAGTTTTTACACTAAAACCTTATATATATATTTTTGCCCTATTACTAACCTCTGTATCACTTGAGTTCTCATCTTCAACTTCTCCTTCTTCAGCCTCGTCATCATCTGAACTGTCTTCCTGCTTGTCTAAAATACAATATAAGGGACAGGATGAACCTTAACATAACTCCATCTCATGTAATTTAAAAGTCCAATATTTCCTATTTACTGATGATCCAAAGCATCACAGCTTATTTTAGAAATAACTGACAATGAGATGCTATATAATGCTCTGCAGAGAAACCTAAACCAACGGTGTAAAGAATAGGACTTTCAGCCCTAAAGTCCCTCCTTTGTGTTGTTACCTTTTTTACTTTTCTCCGATGACCTGTCCTCATTGACATCCCTGCTTCTTATCTTGTCCAGGGCTGGCAGAGAGCTCATATTGATAAGGGCTCGTGTGGCTGTCATTTCATCCAGCCAAACCACATTACCTAAAACAAAATGTAAAATAAAACATTACATCACATCCAAATGGTTTAAGTTTTTAAAAAACAGAGACTGCAACATATTCATTGCTATGGCCTCATATAGCTACAGGTCAGTATCAGTGAATGTATGAACCAACTAATGAAAGTAGTACAGAAAGTGGTAGTAAAACCTCTTTGATGAAATTAGCCTAGAGTTGCATTCCCAAACTGGGTTCCACAAAATAACTGTAAAGTATTCCATGAGAAAGGGTTCTGCATATTAAAACTGCCTGGCTCAGTGAGTACTATATAGTGTTAGCAGTTCTTGTGGTGATGATGATGATGACAAGAAGACAACCGTCAAATAAATTTAGATTATCCTTCATACTACTGCCCTCTACAGGGAAGTCATCTGTTGTACCTTGTCATTCAGACACACTAATGATTGTTTCCCACTGTGAAGTGTGGATGATGATGGTACCCATGGAGCATATACAATGGAGGCATGACAGCCACTTGGCTTTGTAGCAACTAATTTAATCTGCTTATTTAAACAAGAGAATTTAGCAAAGAAAAGGTGTTGAGAAGTCTTATAGAAAAGAAATCTATTTAATTTTGTTTAAAAGAGCATTTCTCGGGCGCCTGGGTGGCTCAGTTGGTTAAGCGACTGCCTTCGGCTCAGGTCATGATCCTGGAGTCCCTGGATCGAGTCCCACATCGGGTTCCCTGCTCGGCGGGAGTCTGCTTCTCCCTTTGACCCTCTTCCCTCTTTATCTCTCATTCTCTCTCTCTCAAATAAATAAATAAAATCTTTAAAAAAATAAAAATCTTAAAAAAAAGAAAAAGAGCATTTCTCAAACCAAAGTCACCTTTCCATTTTCAGTTTGGGAAATGAAGGTCTATAGATTCTCACTTTTGTTATGAACATGTGACGTGGCCTTGGGCAAACAATTTTCCTTCTGTTTCTCAGTTCTGATGTACAACATGAGTTAGGAAAACTGGGTAAATCTAAAGGGTCCCTCCGACTCTAATATCCCTTAGCTACAGTTTTAGTGACTTAGATGAGGAGTTAGCAAATTACGACCTGCAGGCCAAATCCAGCCCACCACCTATTCATTTATTTATTTATATTTATACCAGCTTTATATAGGTATAATTAATTAAGTAACAATAAACTACACATCCACCATGTTTTTTACTAAAAAAAAAAAAAAAAATTCTGTGGAAAGCGGCCAGGCTTGTAGGCTTGTTCAGTAACATGTTGTCTATGGCAGCTTTCATGCTACAATAGCAGAGCTGAATAGATGTAACAAAACAAAGACTGCATGACCTGCAAAGCCTAAAATATTTATTGTTAGCTCTTTATAAAAAAAGGTTTGCCAAGCCTTGATTTAGATAGTGTAAATTAAGCAAAAGGAAAAATGGAGAAAACTCTTCAACTCAGTCATGTTTCTTCATTCAGTGAAAACACTGAATCAACATCTTCTAAAGAAAGTAGCTGGAAAAACCAGGCAGCTATTCAGGGTACAACCTAGCAGGTCAGCAAACTGGCAGTAAACAAAGCCAGACTAGAAGTGAGTTAAGACAAGGAGCCAGCAGAGTGATTACCACAGGTCCTACCAGACTTGGAACAGCGAGGCAAGTAAAAATTACAGCTAGTTCACAAGTTGGAGAACTCATAGGTTAGGGCAAGCAGGTGAAGTTTCAAAGCAAGCAGAGGTGAGAGGTCTCATACAGTGTCAGAGGGTTCCAGTTTAGTTCTAAATCAAATACTAAGGCAGAACCAGCCCTGTGAAGAGCTATATTGGGAAGGTGTGATGCCCAAGTCTATACAGTTGGATCCACCCCTTTGTTGGGACATTGTGGGAGTTAAAGAGGTCTCAATCATGTAAACAAGGCTCAGATGCCAGCAACCAACCTCCTAGATTCCTGGTCATCACATCTGAGCTGACTTGGAATACTCATGGAATATGATCTGGCAGATTGGCTAAGGCATTCTGGTTCTCATCAATGGGCAATCTTTCTCCCCTAGGCTAAAGGTAGAGGTTAGGGCACAGACGAGTAGTCTCAACCACAAATATTCACCATCTGAGATGGCAAAATTAAAATCATAAACAAAAGTATATTCAACAAAAAACTTGCGTGTACTTACAGGAGGTATCATCCAGCCATTCAATGTGAGCAGGAGGATATTCTTTAAAATAGGAAAAGATATCCTGAGTACTCATCTCATCTACTCCACAAATGTAGATTGTCTCCAGTCTCACTTTGGGGATTGCTAGAAAAACAAGACACAAAAGAGATGATAGAATTTTCCCCACCCGCTATTGCACATCCCACCAGTAGCCCTTTGTGACGGTTCGGATAACATGTGTTTAGAAAAGAAGTATGCTAGAAGAGATGACAATTACTTCAAAAGAAATGAAATAGGACAGTAAGGTAAACTATTTTAATTTTTATCACAGAGCAACAGCATTAAACAAATGATCTAATTCAGAACAGGCATATCAGGCTGAGAAAGATTAAACAAATGGTGTTGGTAAAACACAAGGTATCTCTCCCCAAATTAACCTGTAGTAATTAAAGCAAAAACAAATTCAATAGGATTGCTCCTTGAACTTGACAAGCTGATTCTATAATTTTAGAATGTATGTCAAATAGAGATGTGCAATAGCCATGACAATTCTGAAGAGATGCTGCTCCTGAATATAAAGCAAAGTATGAAACTAAAGAAATCCTACAAAGCAATAATAAAATGACAGCACAAAATAAAAATGAACATGAGCACACATTTCACACAAAAGGAAATAAAAAAGGCCAATAAACATATGAAAAGACAGTCGATTTCACTAGTAATCAGAAAAATGCACATTAAAACAAAACACAAGCTTTCATTGCCCATCTATTGTGTAGTATAGCCACCTTCATTAATTAGCTGGATCTTCTGGATAATTTGCTGCAGCTTCTACATGCTTGGTACTTCACCTTGTGCTTTTTATGTTACAGAGATGGATGGCTTCTTTCCTTAAACCTAATGACCCAACCTCTGCTAGCTTCAAACTTTTCTTCTGTAGCTTCCTCACCTCTCCCACCCTTCACAGAATAGAATAGAGTCGGGGCCTTCCTCTGCATTAGGCTTTGGCTTAAGGGAATGGGCTGGTTTGATCTCCTATGCAGACCCAAGGCTTTCTCCATATGAGCAAAAAGGCTATTTCAATTCTTATCATTCGTGTGTTCACTGGAGTAGCACTTTTAATTTCTTTGAGAACTTTTCCTTTGCATTCACAACTTGGCTGTTTGCCACAAGAAGCCTAGCTTTTGGCCTATCTTGGCTTTTGATGTATCTTCCTCACTAAGTTTAATCACCTCTAGCTTTTGATTTAAAATGAGAGACATGGACCCTCTTTTCACCTGAACACTTAAAGAGGCTGTTGTAGGATTATTAATTGGCCTAATTTCAATACTGTTATGTCTCAGGGAATGGGGACCCAAGGAGAGGAAGAGAAACGGGCAACCCGCCAGTTGGTGGAGCAGTCAGAACACCCACATTTATCAAGTTCTCCATCTTGTAAGGGAGTGGTTTGTGGCATCCCAAAACAATTACAATAGTAACATCAAAGATACTGATCACAGATCACCATAACAAATACAATAATAATGAAAAAGTATGAAATATTGAATTACCAAAACGTGACAGAGATTCAACGTGAGCAAATGCCGTTGGAAAAATGGCACCAACAGACCTGCTCAACACACTTTCCACAAACCTTCAATTTGTTAAAAAACAAAACAAAACAAAAAACAGTATCTACAAAGTACAATAAAATGAAGTGTTCCTGTACAATGTGATGACATTAAAAAAAAATAATATATAAACCTAAGGGTCAGTATTTGTGCACACAAATACCTAGAAAAAGGCCTGGTATAATTCACACTGATAACAGTTGTAACCTCTGGGGAGGAAGAAAGGTTGAAGGCTATAGTAAAAAAGGAAAGACCTGTAGTCTGAAAACTATAAAACACGAATGAAAGAAATTCAAGACGATGCAAAGAAAGGGAAAGCCATTCCATGCTCATGGGTTGGAAGAACAAATATTGTTAAAATGTCTATATTACCCAAAGCAATCTACAAATTTAATGCAATCCCTATCAAAACACCAACAGCATTTTTCACAGAACTAGAACAAACAATCCTAAAATTTATATGGAACCACAAAAGACCTTGAATATACAAAGCGATCTTGAAAAAGGAAAACAAAACTGGAGATATCACAATTCCAGAGTTCAACTTATATTACAAAGCAGTCGTAATTAAAACAGTATGGTACTGGCATAAAAACTGACACACAGATCAATGGAACAGAAGAGAAAAACCAGACATAGACTTAACAATTATAAGGTCAGTTAATCTTCAACAAAGGCGGAATGAATATACAATGAAAAAAAGACAGTCTCTTCAACAAATGGCACTGGGAAAACTGGACAGCCACATGCAAAAGAATGAAACTGGACCACTTTCTTTGACCATACACAAAATAAACTCAAAATGGATTCAAGACCTAAATGTGAGATCTGAATTCATAAAAATCCTTGAAAAGAGTACAGGCAGTAATCTCTTGGACATCGACTGTAGCAACACTTTTTTAGATGTATTTCATGAGGCAAGGAAAATAAAAGCAAAAATAAACTACTGGGAGTACATCAAAATAAGAAGTTTCTGCACAGCAAAGGAAACAATCAACAAAACTTAAAGGCAACCTACTGAATGGGAGAAGATATTTGCAAATGACATATTTGATAAAGGGTGAGTGTCCAAAATATATAAAGAAATTGACACAACTCAACATCCAAAAACTGAATGCCATTTAAGAATGGGCAGAAGTGTTTGCTTTGGCTGCACATATACTAAAATTGGAATGATACAGAGAAGATTAGCATGGCCCCTAAGCAAGGATGACATGTAAATTTGTAGAGCCTTCCATATTTTTTAATGCTAAGCTAAATAAGTCAGAGAAAAACAAATACCATATGATTTCACTCATATGTGGAAAGAAACAAAACAAAGAAGTAAAGGGAAAAAATGACAGGGAGAGAAACAAATCAAGAAACAGACTCTGCAGAGAACAAACTGATGGTTACAGATGGGAACGGGGTAGGGTGGATGGGTTAAAGAGGTGATGGGACCGGGGGAGCGGAACAAGATGGCAGAGGTGTAGGAGACCTGGATTTCCTCTGGTCCAGGAATTCAGCTGGATAGGGATCAAACCATTCTGAACACCTACGAACTCAACAGGAGATCGAAGAAAAGAATAGCAACAACTCTCACAACAGAAAAGCAACCACTTTCTGGAAGGTAGGACGAGCGGAAGTAAATCCAAGGCAATATCCGGGAGGCTAGACGGCGGGGGAGGGGGCCTCTGTTGGCCGCTTCTGACAAATGATAGAGCACCAGAAGACAAAACTGGAACTTTTAGAAGTCGGTTCGGCTGAGGTACGTTGCTGCAGCGGATAAGCGGGGGGTGGAACCCTCTCTGGGACAGTGTGGTCTCAGGACCCTCAGGGTCACAGGAAGACCGGGGGTGCCTGAGTACAGCAGAGCTCCCAGGTATCGGAGCGGGGAAGCCGGCTGCAGAGACGGAGCCAAGGAGTGGGCTCTCAGCTCGGGGCTGCCATAAACCGTGATCCACGGCACAGTCGGGCCATTGCTCTTCCTGCAGCGACCCACCGAGTGGCAGATCCGGGGAGACTCCCCTTCCTCCCCCGGGGAGGAGCAGCACAGGAGCGCACCGCAGGGATCTAATGAGTTTAGAGACTCCACACGGGGTAGGGTGCCAGAGATAGAAACGCTTGGTCAGAGGTGGGGTGACCACGGAGTGCCGCCGGAGACCGGGGAGACGGGAGTGATTGGCGGCTTTTCTCTGGGGGCGCACTGAGGAGCGGGGCCCTGAGTTCTTGGTTCCTCCGGGGTGGAGAATGGGATGCCGCCATTTTTACTCTCGTCCTCCAAGCTGTATGGAAAGCTTGCAGGGAACAAAAGCTCCCAAGAGAGGGGGAGACGAACCATGAGAGACGATGAACTCTGAAAAACAAACTGAAGGTTCTAGAGGGGAGGGGGATGGGAGGATGGGTTAGCCTGGTGATGGGTACTAAAGAGGGCACATTCTGCATGGAGTACTGGGTGTTATACACAAACAATGAATCATGGAACACTACGTCAAAAACTAATGATGTAACGTATGGTGATTAACATAACAATAAAAATTTCAAAAAAAAAAAAAAAAAGCTCCTGAAAGCAAACCCGAGCGGATTCCTTAGCCAGGACCCAACAAGGGTGGGCAAATTCCGACTACGGGAACGACAACTGGGAACCATGGCAACAGGTTCCTCCCCCAGAAGATCCGCAAGGACATCCAGCCAAGACCAAGTTTACCGATCAATGAGAACGGCAGAACTCCAGCGCTAGAGAAATACTGCACACATAATTCATGGCTTTTTTCCCATGATTCTTTAGTCTTTCAAAGTTAATTTTTTTAACTGTCTTTTCTTTTCTTTCTTTTTTTCAATTTTTCTTTTTCCCTTTTTCAACCAACATCTTATCAATCCCTTTGTTAAAAAATATTTTTTATTTTTCATTTTTAGCGATATTCTATCCCTTCATAGTAGTTACCCTTCTTTACGGTATATACATATAAGTTGTCCTCTCTTTAAAATTTTGAGATACAGTTTCTTCTAACAGATCAAAATATACCCTAAATCTCTAGTATATGGCTTTGTTCAAGTCTCCTGCCTGATCACATTCTCTCCTTTGCCTCTCTTTTTAAAAACCCCTTCTGTCTTTTTTCAACCAACTTATCAATTCCTTTTATAAAGTCTTTTCTAATTTTCATCTTTACACTCATATTCCATCCCCTCATCATATTAACCCTTATTTTTGTACATATATAAGTTTTTCCTTCTTTAAAATTTTGGGAGGCACTTTCTTCTAACAGACCAAAACACGCCAAAAATCTAGTGTGTGGCACTGATCTATGCACCAGCCTGATCATATGGGATCATATTGTTTTTTGTTTTGTATTGTTTTTGTTTGCTTTTATCTTTTTCTTTCTTTTTCTTTTTTCTTTATTTCTCTTTCTCCCGCCAGTTTCAGGTGTTTTCTGATTTGTTTAGTATTTTCTGGGGATGTTGTTACCCTGTTAGTATTTTGTTGTCTCATTCATCTAGTCTCCTCTGGACAAAATGACAAGACGGAAAAAATTACCTCAACAAAAAGAACAAGAG